TGGGTCTCCCTTGGTTCTCCAAGAATTTCCAGAGGGTTGAGGTTGCCCAGTTGGGTTTCCCTCAGTTCTCCAAGAATTTCCAGGAGTTTGTGATTGCCCAGTTGGGTTTCCCTCAGTTCTCCATGAGTTTCGAGAGGGTTGACGTTGCCCAGTTGGGTTTTCCTTGGTTATCCATTCATTTCCAGGAGTTTGAGGTTGTCCAGTTGGGTTTCTCTAGGTTCTCCATGAGTTTCCAGGAATTTGAGGTTGCCCATTTGGGTTTCCCTCAGTTCTCCATGAATTTCCAGGAGTTTGTGATTGCCCAGTTCGGTCTCCCTTGGTTCTCCAAGAATTTCCAGAGGGTTGAGGTTGCCCAGTTGGGTTTCCCTCAGTTCTCCATGAATTTCCAGGAGGTTAATGTTGTCCCATTTTGTTTCCATTTTTCTCCATGAATTTCCAGAGGGTTGAGGTTACCCCATTGTGTTTTCCCTCATCTCTCCATGAATTTCCAGGAGTTTGAGGTTGCCCAGTTGGGTTTCCCTCAGTTCTCCATGAATATCCAGGGGTTTGAGGGTGGTGCACTGTGTGAGGAGTCACTTGGAGGCCCCTGCTGGTTCCTTCCCTCCTTCAGCCTTTCTCTTGTCCCTTCTCACCTTGTCTCGGTTTGCTGTAACTCACACCCAGCTCCAGGCGACTTCTCTGTGGGTTCTACCTGATCCCACCAGAGGTTTTTACCAGGTAGGTGTTTGGAAACCCTGATCCCAAGAATTCGGAGTGGTGGGATCCGTGTCATTCCAGGAATCCGCGTCATTGCTGTGGGGGTGTCGGGAGCTGACCCCATGGAGCTCCACAGGATCTCGCTGCAGCAGAACCCCCAGAACGTTTTCTACGTCAGCACCTTCGATGACTTCTCCCAAATCCTCCAAGAGCTGATTGAAGCCATTTGTTCTGATCCTCGGCTTCCAGGAACCCAAATCCCACTGGGAAAGGTGAGTTCCTACTCGTGGGAGTAAATCCAGCTTGGAGTGGGTCAGGCACAAGGAGAATCTTCCCTGAGGGACGTTGCAGAGCAGAATCAGAGTGGATTTAGGACATTGTGTCCCATCCTGACCTCACTGTCCAGCCCTAAAGAAACCTTTGAAATCCAGGGAGTGGAACTGGGGAAGGCAGGATAGAGCTGGGAATGTTTTGGTGGATAAAGCCACTGCAGAACACTTAAATATATTAAAAATTCACATTATAAATTCATAGAATTATATTTTAAATGCCTGAGAATTCTCCTGAATGGTCAAATTTGCTTTTTCCTTTTTTTTTGCCTAAGCCAAGGAATGTTTTAGTCTGTGTTTTCCTGGTCACTCCAGTTTATTTGCCATCCTCTGGTGGATATTACTTCCCTGATAATTTTTTTTCCTCTTTTCTGCTGAAGATCTCCACGGGCTCAGCAGCTCACAGGGTTTATGACCCCCACACCACGAAGGGAGAGAAAGGGGAGCGGGTGAGTCACGGAATATTCCCAGTTGGAAGAGACCCCCATGGATCATGGAGTCCAGCTCTTAAGGGAATGGCCCCACAGCGTGATCCACTTGGATAATTAATATCCTGGAATCATGGAATGGTTTGGGTTGGAAGGGACTCGAAAGATCATCCAGTTCCAACCTCGACACCTTCCATTATCCCAGGTTACTCTGTCCAGAGCTGGCCTTGGACACTTCCAGGGGTGGGACAGCCCCAGCTTCTCTGGGAATTCCATTCCAGGGCCTCCCCAGCTCCCAGCCAGGAATTCCTTCCCAATATCCCGTCCATCCCTGCCCTCTGGCAGCAAATGCAACCAAATTATGGCCAAGGAAGAGTTCAAGCAAAGAGTCGCTCTCAGATCTTTTCTGTCGATGTTTTGCTCTTCCCGCTCCATGCTGGCTTTGAAAACCCGGGAGAAGCTCTGCTCCGGGATTTGGGAATGCCCCCAAGAGTTGGAGTGCTGCATGAAGCTGTTTGGGTTCGCAGGGCTGAGGTCATCCCCCTCCACCCACGCTGTTCTTTTCCATGTTTTTAGGGTCTTCCTGGGAAGGACGGCGTTCCTGGGCTGCCGGGCAGGCCGGGCCGGCCGGGTCCTCCAGGTCCCGCTGGAATCATGGTATGGATTGGGTCTAACAAACTTCTCCAAAGGGCCATTCCAGAGAAGAGTGGCCAGCATCCCTCTGTCCTGTTTTGCAGGGGCTCCCTGGCAGCCAAGGTGACATGGTGAGTATTTGGAATGCCGGCGTGGTTTGGCTTGGAAGGGACCTTAAAACTCATCCCATTCCATGGGCGGGGACACCTCCCACTACCCCAGGGTGCTCCAAGCCCCATCCAGCCTGGCCTTGGACATTCCAGGGATCAGCACCCATGGTCTTGAGGGTGTTTTTCTGTTTAATACTGCAGAATTTTATTTTTAATTCCAGGGATCTCCAGGCTATCCAGGACCCACGGGGCCAAAAGGAGACAGAGTGAGTTCCGTTCCTGGATTTCACTGGGAAAAATGCATTTCTTTGTTGTGACCTCTCTTTTCCAAACACTTTCACCAGGATCTTCGGCAAATGTGAATTTTTAAGCTGCGTCTACCTAATCCTACACTGCCATACTTCATCTTGGGGAGTTTCCCTCAGGAATCTTATGTCTTTATGGAGAAAAGTGCTCAATCCAAATCCCAAATTCTGGGCGTAATTAATTAATTAATTAATTAAAAGTTAGTAATTAGTAAATTAATTGCAGGAGAAGGTGGGGTCATTCTGCCTGAGTTTCCATTAATAACAAACCTGGTTTAATCCATTTAGGACACTAGAATATTTCAGTATTTACTGGGGGCAGATTCCAGGAGGAGCTTCCTGCCCTTCTCCCACTCTCCATTCCTCCTCTTTCCTTGCATCCCTCTGAGCTCCCTGTGCAGATGAAAATCGGGAATGGATCCTGCTGAAATCCAACTTCCATATTTTTTTTCCTTGGGATTAATTATTTTTTCCATGCCAGCGAGCAAAACTCAGGTCATGGCCATGTGGTTTTGGGTACCAGGTGCTGCTTTGGGTTGATGGAATTTGCCTCAAAATCACCCAAACTGCTCCTGGATCTCCCAAGGTGCTTTTATCCACAGGGAGAGCCAGGCTATGTCCTGGGAGGAGTGGAGGTGATTCCTGGCCGGAATGGGCAGCCTGGCCCCGCTGTGAGTATCAAACCCCAGGTGTGGGGCAGCCTTTCCCGAGGGTTGGAAGAGATCCCAAATCCCTCCCTCTCCTGCTTTTCCTTGCTGCAGGGACAGAAGGGGCAGCCGGGGGTTCCTGGGGTTCCTGGACCACCAGGTTCTCCAGGGCCACCAGGAATCTCCATCAAGGTGAGTTTGCAGCACAGTTCTGGGATGTGCCACTGATGCCTTGAGAACCTGACCTAGAGCAGAGGCTGGACTAAAGAATAAATCAGGGATTAATTAAAGGATCTCCTCCATGGATCCACCTTGGGCAGCACCAGAGCCCAGCCAGGGCTGCACCCAAATGAACCAAAATGGTCCCAAAATGGTCCCAAATGAACCAAAATGGTCCCAAAATGAACCAAAATGGTGCCAAAATGAACCCAAATGACCCAAAATGGCCCCAAAATGAACCCAAATGAACCAAAATGGTCCCAAAATGAACCCAAATGAACCAAACTGGCCCCAAAATGAACCCAAATGAACCAAAATGGTCCCAAAATGAACCCAAATGAACCAAAATGGTCCCAAAATGAACCCAAATGACCCAAACTGGTCCCAAGATGAACCCAAATGAACCAAAATGGTCCCAAAATGAACCCAAATGACCCAAAATGGTCCCAAAATGAACACAAGATGACTCAAAATGGTCCCAAAATGAACCCAAATGAACCCAGGATGACCCAAAATGGTCCCAAAATGAACCCAAATGAACCAAAATGGCCCCAAAATGAACCCAAGATGACTCAAAATGGTCCCAAAATGAACCCAAATGAACCCAGGATGACCCAAAATGGTCCCAAAATTAACCCAAATGAACCAAAATGGCCCCAAAATGAACCCAAGATGACCCAAAATGGTCCCAAAATGAACCCAAGATGAACCAAAATGGTCCCAAAATGAACCAAAATGGTCCCAAAATGAACCCAAATGAACCAAAATGGTCCCAAAATGAACCCAAATGAACCAAAATGGTCCCAAAATGAACCAAAATGGTCCCAAAATGAACCCAGGATGAACCAAAATGGTCCCAAAATGAACCCAAATGAACCAAAATGGTCCCAAAATGAACCCAAATGAACCAAAATGGCCCCAAAATGAACCCAAGACGACTCAAAATGGTCCCAAAATGAACCCAAATGACCCAAACTGGTCCCAAAATGCACGAGCGCTCCCGGGGCTCTCCCTGGGATCAGTTCTGCTCCATTGGCACCTTGGAGTTCATTCCCATTCCAGCTCCAGCCCATCAGTCCCACCCTGCTTGTTTTTCTCTCTCCAGCCCACGGTGTTTGTGCTCCTGGGCTGAGGTTTGGATCATTTGTCCTTGGTGCCCAGCTGGAGCAGGAATTGTTTTGTGTCCCTGCTCTGTGCACAGAGCTCACCATCCCATCATGTGAAGCTCAAACCCACACACCAAAGCAGCTCAGAATGTGAAAAATATAAAAACTAAAACCTGAGGCATGACCACAGGAAAAGGAGACCCAACACCAAACATTGCAGGTGGAGGTGTCTGGAGACCTCTCCTAAATTTCTGCCTTCCAGTGGCAGCGGGAATTTTGCTCTCTTGGATTGTCAGACTGCAGGATTTCTCTGCTGGGATGAAGTTTGGTGAGGAGCCCCTAAATACCCATCCCATGGGAATTCTCCTCATCTTTTCTGTTTCAGGGTGAACCAGGGGAATCAGGAATCAGGGTGAGTACCTGAGGTCAGCTTTCACTTTGGGATGAAAAGCCTTTTTCCCATAATTATTTCCAAGCTGCCCAGGAAGTTCTGGCTTCCAAACTTCCCAAAATTCTGTGGAGATCCATGAAGGGATCATGGAGTGAGACTTTCCTGTCCTTCATGCAGGGTCCCCGTGGGAGGAGTGGCCTCAAAGGTGACAGAGGAGACGCGGGAGAGCCGGTGAGTGGCCCCAGGAAGTCAGGGAAAAACTGGGATAGATCCAGAGGAGGGAAAAACGTGGATCAAGAGCCTGGGACAAGGAATGGCCCAAACTGGCAGCAGCTCCAAAACAAGGGGAGGGCTGGTTCTTCCCATAAATCATCCCACAAAGAGGTTTGGGAAGTTTGAGCTCAAGGGGAGATATGAGAAATCTGTGGAGGATCACTGGGAATACAAGAGAGCAGGATTGGTTTGGGAATTCCCTGTGTTACAAATCTGAAAGGATAACATCCCTGTGCTGCTTCCCATCCTCCCTGGATCTGGTTTTGGTTGGTTTTGCCATAATGGAGAGCCACATCCCATAAATCAGCCCTTTCCATGGGTCTGGATTCACCATTCCAGACCAACGTGGGCTGCCAGCCTCGATCTCCCATTGTTTTCCCTTCCTGAGTAAAGCCAGGGATTCATAACTTATTTGTGAGAGTAAAAGGAAATTTGGGAATACACAGACAGCTCTGCAATTCCTCAGTTTTAAAGGAACTGCTCAGATGGACAGATCAGGATAAATTTTTCTCTGCAGAATTAAAAGTAAACCTCTCCAGTTTAGGGGGGAAAAAAAGAGATTTGATGATGTTCCTTCCTTTCCAGGGAAAACCTGGTTTGCCAGGCCCTGTGGGGCTCCATGGGGCTCCTGGACTGCCTGGACCACAGGGAGAAAAGGTTGGATATTTCCTGAATCCCTCAGCCCAGAGGGAAAACGACAGGAATAGCAGGGTAGACCTGTGGGAAGGCATTTTGGGATGTCCCAACATTCCTGGAATTCGTTGGCTCTGCTCGGAGGCAAACATTTCCAGAGGAAATCTCTGCCCTCCTGTTCTGCTAAGAAACACTCTGGAGCAGAAATGTGGGAAGGAATGGTGTTGGAATCTGAGGTGTTGATGATTCCAAAATTGTAGAAAGTTTCTGTTTTTTAGCTCTGCTGCCAAAGCAGAAGCCATAATTGGTCTGTGCTGGTTTCCAGGTTGTTTATTCTGTTTATCTCTCACATGTTCTGCTGCCCTGCCCAGCTCTGTCCTGCAGGGCAGCGTGTGGGGCTCTGCCCTCAGTGGGATGTGACAAACATTCAATACCAGAAACTCCCTGGGCTGGATTTACAAGAACGTGCCAATATCTGTCACCTACGTTGGACAGTGTGTCCCCAGCCTGAACCAACAGAAAAATGCCAACACCACAGTGAGACATGGAGGGCATGGAGAAGGAGAAAAAGGACAAGGCACACCCAATTTCCTCCATCTTGTCCCCTTTGGACCCCTCATCTAGAATCCTAAAATTTTACTTTTGCACCCATGCCACACTTAATTATTACTGATATCAAACCCTCAGAGCTGGTAATTGATCCTGTAAGATTGAAAACTCTTTTCCATGGACAGAGATCACAGACAGTGTCTCTGGGGGCTCTGTCCAGGGGGTTCCTGACCCCTGCCAGGGTCCCAGGGCAGCCAGAGGGAAGTTCTGCATTCCCACAGAATGGGAGCTCTGGGATCAGCATTCCTGAGGATTCTGTGCTTTCCTTGCAGGGAATGGCAGGAATTGGCATTCCTGGCACTGCTGGCATGAAGGGGGAAGAAGGAGAGCAGGTGGGTTGGGAATCTTCCAGTGAGGTTTGCATTAAAATCCTCTCAGAGTGTTCAGTGTCTCCGGAGTCTCCTCCAATATTTAAGTTTTCCTCGGAGTCGTGTGGTTCCGCATGGGAAGGGTGAGAGAAGGGAAGATTTGGGGTTTAAAATTCGATCTTTCACTGTTTCCTCTGTTGTTTTCAGGGAATGATGGGACCTCCGGGAGCACCAGGACCAAAGGTGGGTGCTGGAATCCTGAACCCGAATTCCCGGGCCTGGAATTCAGTTTCCAAGGAAATTTTCTGCCCCTAACCAGCATCATAAGGAATCATCATCATAATTCCTGTGGGAAGCATTGGATCATGGAATGGTTTGGGTTGGAAGTGACCTTCCAAGGCCACCTGGTCCAAACCCTCAGGACTCAGCAGGGACACCTTCAGCCACACCAGCCTGACCTGGAGCCTTCCAGGCTCAAAAGCAAAGAAAGGGAATCATTTTCCACTGCCTGCACTCTGGAATTCCTTGCTGCCAAGGAGAGACCTGGCATGGCAGCAAGGTGGGATATTTTAAATAATAAATGGCATTTTTGAGGCCAGGGAGACTCCAGAGTCCCAGGCTGGAAGAGCTGTCCTGTAATTAATGGAAAACTGGGTCGAAGAGCTCCATCCTTCCCTCCCTCCCTCCCTCTGGATGGCAACAGGAGCCAAAAATGTTGGATCTGGTTTCATTCTGGTGGAAATTCCCTTCTGGTTTCTTCCAGGGAATTCCAGGACCTCCAGGGCAGAAGGGAGACCAAGTGAGTGGAACAGTAAGAGAACGCGACCAGCTCAGCTGGAATTATCCCGATTTTTCCCAGCTCGTTCCCTGTGGGATCCTTGAGCTCAGTTCTCCCCTCTCCTTGGCTCTTGTGCTTCCGAGATGACTCTCAGGCATTTTTAAGGAATAAATGGTGGGAAAGGAATGAGAGAAAAGTTTTCCCTGCCTCACATTTTTCATTCCATTGGCCACCATTCCTTCCTTCTGCCTTTCAGGGAAATCCAGGATTTCCAAGTGCCTTGGAGGTAACTTGGAGAGGTTTAGAGCCCTTCTTGTCTTTCAGCCGTGCAGCTTCAATCCCAAAATGCCAGAATTCCAAGAGTTGTGTCCCACAGAACCGTGGGAAGAACACCCAGACCTTTTCCCTGACCCTCCTGCCGGATTTGTCCTCTTCTCCCTTGCTCCACTTCCTGTATTCCCAATATTCCCATTGTCCCCTCAAAGGAGCTTCACTGCTCTCCAGGAAACATAAAAATAAAAATTCCCACCACTGAATCCATGTGCTCCAGCCCAAGCTCCTCATCCACAGGGATGAGCCCTGCTGGACACCCACAGCTCTCCATGTCCCTCCAAATTCCAGCTTTAAGGAGAAACCTCGGTGGTGGCCACAAGATTTCTTATCCCATAATAATTCTTATCCCATAGCAATTTTTATCCCTTGCTTCGGAAAAGGGATATCAAAATCTCCATGAAAAGGAGATTTTTAAATGAAATTAAATCAGATTTTTTTTTAAACAGAGGATTTCTTTGATTTCTTCTTCTCCTCAGATTTTGGGACCTCCAGGCAAGAAAGGTGTGAGGGTAAGACTGATATTGAAATTATTAATTCATTAATTAATTGGCACTGCTTTGAAAAGGCAAGATCTATTCCTAGAAAAGCAGAGGTTGTCCCATGTTTCCTGAATTCCATTTCCCTGGTGATTGACAGGAGAGGAGAGCTTGGAAAAGTCTCGTCCTGGGAATATTTCTCTTGCTTTTATTCACGTTTTTTTACCTGGTATTCCCATTCTAGCCTTAATCCAGGGGAAAATTTGGGATTTCAGAAGGGAGACATCACTCGAGTGCAGATCCAGCCCAATCCCAGAAGGTAAAATCGGGGATAGAAGAGGCTGGAAGGGATTCCTGGAGGTGTCCAGTCCCACCTCCTGCTCCCAGCAGAGCCCATTCCAAAGCTGGCTCAGGTCTCCCGTGCTGAGAATTCCCGTGAGTGGAAAATTCCCATGGATGGAGAATTCCCATGGATGGAGAATTCTCACATTTTTAGGCCCCCGATCCAGAGTTTGGCCTCGTGGAGAGAAAATTGAATTTCCCAAACCAAGGAGCTCTCCGGGACAGAGCCATTCCCTGGCTGAATTGTCCATATTTTCCAGCTGCTTTCGAGAATTCCAATCACTTTCTCAGTGGCTTGGAGGTGGAACGTGACCCGGAATATCTTAAATTTCAATTCTAAACATTTTTTATTTTTCAGTCTTGCTGTCTCGTTGCCATCCTGCCAAGAACCTTCCCTCTGTGAGAAGGATTTACTGCAGGACTGATTCCACATGGCTTTTCCATGGGAATTCCCTACAGTGCTTCAGACCCCCTCATTCCACAGACACAAGGAATTTTGACTTTTTTGCTGGGATTTGATGTTGGAATCACCTCCTTTTGTTGCCCAGACTGCTTAATTTTGTCTGGCAAAAATCCCTCTTTTCTTTTAGGCTGAGCTTAAGTGTTGTCCTAGGAATTTTGCTGTGGCCTCGTGGCCTGGAATATCTGATTTTTTAAATTATTATTCGTGATATTTCACTGACAACCCGCAGAGAAATGACAGGTGTTCATTTTATTCGCTTTAAACCACTAAAAATGCATTTATGGTGCTACGTAGTGTGGCAACAACTGTGATGAATTTTGGATGGCAGAAAGCAGATGCCGTGGGAAAAAATTCCTTAGAAATCCAGGGTGGATGGATGGATGGATTTGGCAAAGGAATTTTTTTCCAGGGTGCATTAGAAGTGCAAAATGCAGCCCCTAAGGAGTCATGGGAACAGGGCTTGGCTTCCTGCAGGATATTCCTGGTTTTAGGTGTGCATTTTATTCCCAGGGAGATCCCGGACCAGCTGGACCACAAGGAGACAAAGGAACCCCTGGAGAAAAAGGGGAGAAGGTGATGACCTTGCACTTCTTTAGGGATAAAGGAATTTTTTGTTTTGTTTTGTTTTCTTGGGGTTTTGTTTTGTTTTTGGTTGGTTTTTTGGTGTTTTTTTTGTGGCCACCAAGGAAATTCTGAGGGAGATGGAATTCCTCCCCAAGTCACCCATCCAGGAATCCAGGGATGTGTAGGAATCCAACGCTCCTGGAAAGGAAATCAGGCAGGGAGTAAATGCTCAGCTCCTCGGTTATCCGTGGGGATGGAAGTACCTTGGATCTGCTCTGGGGAGGTTTCTCCTGAGCTTGGAAAAGCTGCCTTGGCAAAACCCCGTATCCCTTTGTTTTTTTTCAGGGAAGTCCAGGATTTGGAATTCCCGGCCAGCCTGGGCTAAAGGGAGACGTCGGTGACAGGGTGAGTGGGACAGCGGGGTGGAATGGGAAGGGCCCGGGGGACAAACCAGGAGGTTTAGGGACAAAATGTCTCCATCAGCTCCATGGATTTGTTGGGCCTGAGGAGATGAGCACTGGGGAGGTGACGAGGAACCAGGCTGGTGACCCTCTGGAGGTCTGGGGTGACGGGGTCATCAGCTCTGTCCTCAGGTCAGATGCAAAGGTGGGATCCCCCAAAATGTGGAGAATTCCTCGTGACTGGGGGAAAACACGGATGGTCAGTGACTCTATGGACAGAATCCAAGGAAGTCCCATTTCCAATTATTTCCCCTCCCAAAAATCTTCATCTTCCTGACTTTTCTGTCTAGGAAGGTCTTGGTGGCTCCCATATGACTCCAGTGATGTCCAGGAAGGATTGGGTTAATCCTTGCTGTTCCCTTCTCCAGGGGCATCACAGTCCCGCTCACTTTAATTCAGCAAAAATTGGCAAATCCCAATATTACGGATGAATATCTTTGGAAAAGGAGTGAGAAGCTCAAAATATTGATGGTTTCAAAGTGGGGGAGACAGGAGACACCTCTGGACAAGGTGCACTTGGCACAGCCCCTCGTGGGACGTTCCCTGTTTTTCCTTGGCACAGCCCCTCGTGGGACGTTCCCCGTTTTCCCTTGGCACAGCCCCTCGTGGGACGTTCCCTGTTTTTCCTTGGCACAGCCCCTCGTGGGACGTTCCCCGTTTTTCCTTGGCACAGCCCCTCGTGGGACATTCCCTGTTTTCCCTTGGCACAGCCCCTCATGGGACGTTCCCTGTTTTTCCTTGGCACAGCCCCNCATTCCCTGTTTTCCCTTGGCACAGCCCCTCATGGGACGTTCCCTGTTTTTCCTTGGCACAGCCCCTCGTGGGACATTCCCTGTTTTCCCTTGGCTCAGCCCCTCATGGGACATTCCCCGTTTTTCCTTGGCACAGCCCCTCGTGGGACATTCCCCGTTTTCCCTTGGCACAGCCCCTCGTGGGACGTTCCCCGTTTTTCCTTGGCTCAGCCCCTCGTGGGACGTTCCCTGTTTTCCCTTGGCTCAGCCCCTCGTGGGACGTTCCCTGTTTTTCCTTGGCACAGCCCCTCGTGGGACGTTCCCTGTTTTTCCTTGGCACAGCCCCTCGTGGGACTTTTCCCTGTTTTCCCTTGGCACAGCCTCTCGTGGGACATTCCCCGTTTTCCCTTGGCACAGCCCCTCGTGGGACATTCCCTGTTTTCCCCTTGTCTGATTTGAACTGGAATTACCTTCCCTGTGTCATTCCTTCTGTGTTTCTGCAGGGAAACGTGGGATTGTCTGGGAAGCCAGGTCAGAAGGTGAGTCCATGGAAAGCTTTGTTCCTTGTGAGGGTGGAGAGGCCCTGGCACAGAATTCCCAGAGCAGCTGGGGCTGCCCCTGGATCCCTGGAAGTGTCCAAGGCCAGGTTGGACACTGGGGCTTGGAGCAGCCTGAGATAGTAGAAGGTGGCCCTGCCCATGGATGGGGGTGGAACCAAGTGGTCTTAGAGGTTCCTTCCAACATCTTTGATCAGGCCTTGAAAGATTCCTGCTAATCCTCACCTGCAGGATTTTCCCCGGGAAAAGTTCCAAACCAGTCAAGGAATTTCTGGAAAAGATCCCACCTGTGGAGTTTGTTCAGTGAGTGTCTCGCTGTGGGCGTTCCTCAAACAGGGATCCCCCCCAGCCTTGGCTGGAGGAGGGTTTGGGTTTGGGAATTGTTCTGTGGATCAGTGAATGGAATGGAATATTAAGGTTGGATCAGCTTCCAGGGCATGGACAAATGGGATGCCACAAAGTGGGATGCGGCCAAGCCAAGAGGTCTTCACGAGATGGGTGAAGTTACGCAGCGGAAGCAAGGAAAGGTGTTAGGGCTGGGAGAAGGCCTGGAGAGGTGGTGTCACAGATTTCCCAGATCCCATGGGATATTCTGAGTTGGGACAGACCCGCAAGGATCATCCAATCCAGCTCTGAAGGAAATGGGATCAGATCCATGACCTTGTGGGACAAACATCAAACAGAGCAGAGAGGACCCATCCATGAGAGCTCAGCTGATTTAAATGGGAATAAAAATTAAAACACCCAACGGGAACTGATCCTGTGTCCAAGACTGGATCCGTCTCGAGTCTCTGCCAACCTGAGCTGCTCCTGGAGGTGGAGAACCTCAGCAGGTTCTGTCCTGAGTGAATTCCAGGGGTGACTGTGGAGTCTGGATAGATGAGGTTAGAGCTGGATGCTTTCCAGGCCAATAATCCTACAAAAATAATAATACTATGATTAAATCAACCGAAATACTATTAACATATATTATTAAATAAATCAAAATCAAATAAATATTAATACTACAAAACCCACAAGCCCAGCCTTTCCTAGCACAGCGTAAAAATGCTGGGAGCCCAAACTTCACCCAGGATTGTGGAAGCAGCTCCGTGACCATGGATGCACCGCTGGAATCTGCCCCTCGGTGTCTCAAGTGGGAGGGCTCTGGAATGCAGGACGGGAAGGTGACAAGTCTTCTTTCCTTTAGGGGGAGAGAGGTGAACCAGGATTCCCTGGAAAACCAGGAGAGGCCGGCCTGAGAGGAAAAGATGTGAGTGAGGGCAGGATCCGGGGGGACGGAGCTGCCGATCCTTTGGGACCAACCAACAACCCCGGCTCTGCCCTGAAATGACAAACAAGGGACAACTTTTCTTCCTTGTTCTTCAACATCAGTGCCCAGAGCAGCTGGGGCTGCCCTGGATCCCTGGGATGTCCAAGGAAATGTTGGACACTGGGGCTGGAGCAGCCTGGGACAGTGGGAGGTGTCCCTGCCATGGCAGGGGTGGCACTGGGTGGGATTTAAGGTCCCTTCCAACCCAAACCATTCTGGAATTCTTTGATCAGGATTTTTTTTTTTTTGGTCACATCTGCTTGATGTGGATTTAGCTCCAGGTGCAGCCACACGAGCCCTGAGGGGTCGCTTGTGGCTCTGAGCCTCAGATGATCTCAACTTGGGAAGGATCCATAAAAATCACGGAGCTCGGCTCCCTGCTCCTCACAGAACTGCCCAAATATTTCCCTCTCACGGCCACACAAGGTGGGTCCTCAAAAAACATCAGAAGAGGCTTCTAGAAATTTGTCCTGATCCCAGCAAAGAGCTTTCCTCAGCTCTGAGGGCTGGTTGGTCCCTGGAAATAGAATAGGAACCCTATAAAAAGTTCCCTCTTGGCATCAAATGAGGTGGCCCCTCACAAAAAACAAGGTGGGCCTTCAAAAAAACAAGGTGGGTCCTCACAAAAACAAGGTGGGCCCTCACAAAAACAAGGTGGGTCCTCACAAAAAACAAGGTGGGTCCTCACGAAAACAAGGTGGGTCCTCACAAAAAACAAGGTGGGTCCTCACGAAAACAAGGTGGGTCCTCACAAAAACAAGGTGGGTCCTCAAAAAAACAAGGTGGGCCTTCAAAAAAACAAGGTGGGTCCTCACAAAAAACAAGGTGGGCCCTCAAAAAAACAAGGCGGGCCCTCGCAAAAATAAGGTGACCCACATGAAAAACAAGATGGGCCCTCACAAAAAAAGAGGAACCCTCACAAAAAACAAGCAAAAACACCCTGACTGGCTTCTAGAAAAATGGATTTTTATACATTGAGTTTGATGTCACATTATCTGGAATATCCCTGTGGTCAGTTTGGGATTTCCCTGTGGTCATTTCAGGTTATCCCTGTGGTCATTTCGGGATGTCCCTGTGGTCAGTCTGGGATATCCCTGTGGTCAGTCTGGGATATCCCTGTGGTCAGTTTGGGATATCCCTGTGGTCAGTCTGGGATGTCCCTGTGGTCAGTTTGGATATCCCTGTGGTCAGTTTGGATATCCCTGTGGTCAGTTTGAGTTATCTCTGTGGTCAGTCTGGGATGTCCCTGTGGTCAGTTCGGGATGTCCCTGTGGTCATTTTGGATATCCCTGTGGTCAGTCTGGGAGAACTGTGGAGGAACGGCTCCTCTGCGACCAAGGTGCTCCCACCCCTTCCCGAGGTGCCAGGAAAAGCGCAGCTGGAAAACGAAACCCGTGGATTGGTCCTGAAGTTGATCCCAGCTCATTTTATTTCCTGTTTATTTGTCCTTGAATGAGAATCCTCTTCACTTTCCTGTTAGCTTGGATTTCACATTCCAAACGGCTGGAGCGGAAAAACCAAAAAATAACTAGACTGGTTTTTTGGGGGTTTTTTTGTTTGGTTTTTTGTTTGTTTGTTTTGTTTTTTTGTTTTGGTTTTTGTTTTGTTTGGTTGGTTTTTGTTGGGTTTATTTATTTATTTATTTTTGGGGGTTTTTTATTTGTTTTGTTTTGTTTTTCTGGGAGATGCTGAAAACAAGAGCGCCATGAATGGAATCCCAGAACATCCCGGGTGGGAAGGGACCCACCGGGATCATCCAGTCCAACCCCTGGCCCTGCACAGGACACTCCAACAATCCCACCCTGTCCCTGAGACCATTATCCAAACATTCCTGGAGCTCAGAACAGTGGGATCCGGTGGCAGTCACCTCACCCTTCTCCTAAACTGAAATATTCCAGTCACCCCACACCCTGTGCCCCTTTTTCCTCATTTATGGGAATGCTGTAAAACACCATCCCTAATTTAAGACATCCCAGATATCCCAAAACCTGCCTCTATCCCAGTTTTCCTGGGCTAACGAGATTTAACATCCATTGGAGCCCCTGGAATGTTTGATGGACTCGGTTCTCTCCCTTTAAACCATTTCCTCCTATTTAAGTGCAATAAATCCCTGTCCCTTGATGGAAAAACATTTGGAAAGCCGCTCCTCTCTTTTAGGGAGAAGCTGGAGTCCCTGGAGAGCCAGGAGTGAGAGGAATCAGGGTAATAATTCCATTTTTCTCACTATTATTATCATTTCCTGCCCTGGAGAGTTGGTGGGGCTGCTCCGTTTCCCTTCTCCATCCCACTGGGAGCCCTCACTTGGAAATATCCGCGTCCAAATATTCCTTTCCTGTGGGAAAAATGATCTTTTCCTTGCTGTTTTCCATGTCTGAGCTGCTGCTCGGGGTCTGTTTGGGATTTTTTATTTTTCTTCTCAATCTCTCCTTGCAGGGTCCTCCTGGACCCCCAGGACGTCCTGGAGAACAAGGAATGAAAGGAGATCCAGGAGAACCTGGGAAGGATGTAAGGAATCCCTGAAGGAGCAGCTGGGAGAGGGTGGATGTTGGGAGACCTTGGGTTTATTCCCAGCATTATAAGTAAATAATATTTATTTATTCAGATTAGGGTTGGATGGATCCAATGTGGACAGATGCAGCAGAGATGGATTCGCTCCATCCTTTTTTCATCCCAGTGGGGAACAAAAAAAAAAAAAAAAATCAGGGAAAATATTACTAATTTTCTCATGATTTTACCTAAATCTTCTTTGGGAGAGTCCCAAAAATATCAAAGCAGCTCCTCCCCCACTCTCACCTTTTTCCCTGTGGCCATTTCAGCAAGAATTGAGAGTTTAAATTTGTGATTTAATGATGTCATTTACTTTATTATTTAATTTACTTTATTCAACTTATTCTATCAAATTGTTTCGCTTATTCTATTTAATTTTTTTAAATTTTTAAAAAATTATTTCTTTTTAATTTTATTTATTCTTGCTGTTTATTTTGTGGGGACAGGGAAGGACACGAGACAGAGCAGCCACAGCAGCAATTCCCAAGAAATTGGGAGGAAAAACTCATTCCCAGAGGTCCAAAGGGTGTCTTTGGGTGGATCCTTTGCAGCCATTCCTGCCAAATTCCTGATTTTCCTGCAGGACTCGTGTCCCGAGTCACAGGAAAAGTGGGATTGGGAGCGAAGCTGCAGGAATCATCCCCATGGATGCAAAGCAGATCCAATCCCAGGCTTTCCCAAAGAAATGGTGTTGCTTCCTCCAAAGGCGTGGGGGCAGGGAAATAAAAGCAAAATTTGGGTTGCACGAGAGGTAATTCCATTATTCCAGGTGGGATAGCAAAGGAAAAGCCAGGAAAATCAAGGAAAACTCCCGTGAGCTCTTCTGGTGGCCAGGCTTGGAGTGAAGAGCGGAATTGCTCCAAATTGAAGCTAAAAACGGGGATTTGGGAGACGCGGGAAAGGCTTGGTTGGTCCCTCTGGAAAAGGTGGCAGTAGTTTGGGATCAGCACCCAGGAAATGGGAATTTCAGAGGGGAACTAACGCGTTCCTGCTGGTTTTCAGGGAGATCCTGGGAAGGACGGCCTGAGAGGCGAAAGAGGCCCCCCAGGCCCAAAGGTAGGTGCTGAGTCCAGGATTTGGTGGTGGTGCCACCACCTTTTGGGAGGAAAACCCAGCTCAGGTCTCCTCTGATCCCCCCAAAAGTTTGGGATTTCAAAGCGGAGCTCCTGGGATGGGCTCAGGAAGTCGTGGTCGCGCCAGGGCCGTGGTCCCACGTCTCCACAGAGCTTCTTTAGGAGGAAGAATGTTCTTCAGGAGTCGAACGGGATAAATTCAAAGGTTGTTCCTTCTTTTCCTCCTCCTGCAAGTCGAAGAGCACACGGAAAGGGGTGGAAGGAGGAATGGCTTTGGATCCCATCCAAGACCTTTAGAGGTGGGAACAGCTCCTTCCTTAATGGAGAGGAAAACGCTGCAGGAAGCGGCACCGGTGGGGACAGGGAGATGTCCTGGTTGCCAGGAGATCCAGACCTTTGGAAAAGCAAAGATTTATCCGAGGGAAGAGGCATCCCAAATTCTCCCTGACGCGCCTTGGCTGGAGAGGCCGTCGGAGCCTTCCTGGTGCCCTTCATTCCACCGGAATCTGTCGATGCAGAACCCGGATTTCAGTGAAATGAAGCCCCTCAGAGAGGCAGAGGTCAGCCCCACCTCAGCAGATGTTCCTCACCCCGGGAGCCTCCAGGCTGGACCTTCCAAACCCCTGCGGCTCATCCGTGATTTCATCCCCGCTCCGTCCAAGATCTCTCGCCTGGAGTCGGAATTCCATCACCGCGACCTCCCGTGGGAGCCCATCCCGCTGGAGACATTGGATCCAACCACGTGTGGGGCCACCGGCACCATGGCCACCTCCAGAGGGGACCACCAACCGCAGGAGCAGCTTGGCCATCGTCCTCCTCGGTGTCCTCTGTCCTGATGGCACTGGTGGCACCCAGGGACCTCAACAATCTTTCCTTTCCCACACGTTTGTGGCCAAGAGGTGGAGAAGGGGACGGTGCAAAGTTCTGGCCCAAAGCTCACTTAGATGCTGCTCATGGGCCAGGCTTTCCCTACAAAATCCAGCCGTGCCTGTGTCCAGTGGAGGAGGGAAGGAGCAGGGTGGGATTCAAGCCCCTAAATGGGATTTATCGGGGATTACCCAGCGGGCTGGTGGCAGATGAAGGGCTGGATATGGGATTGCTCCTCTTCCTCTTCTTGCTCCTCGTGGAAATTAATGATTCATGATGGAATTAATGATCCGATCTCGTTTGTTCCAAGGGAGAACCTGGCCCACCGGGAAGAGGAGTGGAAATGAAGGTAAAGAAATCAAAATTAAAGAGCTGGAAGCACCTCCCTCTCTGTGTGGGCTGGGATGGCAGAGGGGACCCAGCGTGCGTCCCCTGGGCCATCAGCCACCTCCAGGAGAAGCTTCTGGAGAGCAAAGTTGGGGCTTCTCTTTCCCCTTGCAGGACCTGGAGAGGCTTTTTGAAGCGTACGGGATCAAGGTAGGAGATCCTTGGTCCTTCCTCCTGACCAAGGGGTGTGATTTGGCTTTTCCATCTCTTCCCTCTGGAATCCTGGAAGTGCCATTTGCTCCCCCAGCAATCCCAGGAAGGTTCATTCCATTTCCTTTTCCAGGTTATATTTAAATATTTCTGGGGCAGATTTTTTTTTTTTGCTGCCATTTTGCGGGGTGGGTGGTGGCTTTGAGGCCCCTGTGACAGTGACACGTGGACCTTAAATCCTCTCTAATTCCAACCTCAGCACCTTCCACTATCCCAGATTGTTCCAAACCCCATCCAACCTGCCCTTGGACACTTACAGGGATGAGGCAGTCACAGCTTCTCTGGGAATTCCAAAGAGTTCTCTGGGAATTCCACCCTCCCAGCCTTCCAAAAATTCCTCCCCAATATCCAACCTAAATCCTCATTCAGTTTAAAACCCCTCCCTCTTGTCATATCCCCATATTCCCATGGAAAAAGGGAATTTTCCCCCCGCTCTCCCTCTTTAATTCCCCTCAAAGTCCTGAAAGGCCACGAAGGTGGGTTTTTATTTAGGATGGGGACAGACCCCCCAAAACTCCACGGATCATCTCCTTGATCCCAAAGCTGTATTTCAACCCCCGGCAATCCGTCATTCCTCGTTTTGGGCTGGCTGCCCTTGGGTTGTCACCTGCTGGGGACAGGAGGGTGGCACTGGGCCGCCTTACTGGTGTGCCCTGGTTCCAGCTGGAGCTGCTGAGGGACCTCTCGGACGCCATCCTGAGGGACGGGCTCCTGCGGCTCCGGGATGGCTCCAGGACCAGCCAAACTTCCATGGAAAACCAGGCGGCCGTGCCCGTCACCGTGAGTCGCGTCACCTGCCGGGGGTGACAGACCCCCGGGGAAGGAGGGAGATGGGAATGAGCCACCAACGCCATCGGGGTCACCTCTGTCACCGGGCAGGTCGTGGTGGACTGGGAGAGGCTGTGGCTGGCACTGGGATCTGGGATTTTGGGATACAAAACACTCATTTTTAAATGGGAATTAAGGAATCAGCCATTCCCAAATCCTTGTGCCCTCTGGGAGTCTTTGAGGACCCCAAAGCCATCGGGGTCACCTCTGTCACCGGGCAGGTTGTGGTGGACTGGGAGAGGATGTGGCTGGCACCGGGATCTGGGATTTTGGGATTTTGGGATACAAAACACTCATTTTTAAATGGGAATTAAGGATTCAGCCATTCCCAAACCCTTGTGCCCTCTGGGAGTCTTTGAGGACCCCAGAGCCATCGGGGTCACCTCTGTCACCGGGCAGGTCTTGGCAGATTGGGAGAGGATGTGACTGGCACCGGGATCTGGGATTTTTGGGATAAAGGGATACAAACCACTCATTTTTAAATGGGAATTAAGGAATCAGCCATTCCCAAACGCTCTGCACCTCTGGGAGTCTTTGAGGACCCCAAAGCCATCAGGGGCACCTCTGTCACCGAGCAGGTCGTGGTGGCTTGGGAGAGGATGTGACTGGCACCGGGATCTGGGATTTTTGGGATTTTGGGATACAAAACACTCATTTTTAAACTGGAATTAAGGAATCAGCCATTCCCAAAGCCACCCAAGTGTCCCTGTGCCCTCTGGGAGTCTTTGGAGTGGTGGGTGTGGGGCTGGAAGCACCAAAAGGGGTCATGAGTGGGGTCTCGACAGCCAAAGGGGTCCCAGGGAGGGAGGAGGATTCCCAGGAAGGAAAGTTTGGATGTGGCCAGCAAGGAATTGCTGCCCACTCGCCCCATCCTGGCTCAGAAACGTCCCCGAGTGGGACGGAGCGTGCTGGAAGGTTGGGAAAGGTTGGGATGAAGCCACCAGGATCCGGCTCCTGCTGGGGGAGGATGCTGGGAGCTCGGCGCTGTCACCGTCTCACCGATCCCTTCTTTTGGTGTGGCAGGATCCGCCGGGGTCCGACACTTCCCGCGGTGTCCCGGCCGGCACCGAGGGGACGGGAGAGGGACAGAGCCTGGAGCTGGAGGCTCCGGAGGTGCCGCTGTCTGGAGGATTCCCTGAGGTGAAAATAAACAGCAGGAAAGGACAAAATTGGGGTTTTTATGGTGTCCAGTTCTGGGCTCTTCCAATCAGGAAGGACATGGAGAGTGTCCAGGGCAGGGAACGGAGCTGGGAAGGGTTTGGAGAACCAGGAGAGGCTGAGGGAGCTGGGAAGGGGCTGAGCTGGAGCCAAGGAGGCTCAGGGGGACCTTGTGGCTCTGCACAAGTCCCTGCCAGGAGGGGACAGCCGGGGGGTCGGGCTGTGCTCCAGGGAACAGGGACAGGAGCAGAGGGAACGGCCTCAGGGTGGACACCAGCAGGAATTTCCCCATGGAAAGGGGGTCAGGCCTTGGGAGGAGCTGCCCAGGGAGGTTTGGAGTGCCCATCCCTGGAGGTGTCCAAGGAATCCCTGGAGGTGGCACTCTGGGCTGGGGATCAGGCCCAGGTTGAACTCCATGGTCCTGGAGTTCTTTTCCATCCTGGGATTCTGTGGAGCGCTTCCTGCCCCGGCAGGGGTGGATCCAGTCCTGTTGTCAGGATGGATTTGGGTTGTCCATGCTGGGACTGCCGGAGCTCCAGGAACGTTTGGACAACACTCCCAGGGATTCTTGGGATCTCCTGGGACTGCATGATCCCTGTGGGTCACTTCCCACTCAGGACATTCCATGATTCTGCGACTCCAGAGCCCTCATTTGGAGTAGCCAGACAAATTCCAGCCACTTGCCTCCCGATTAACAGCTCCTAATTATGGGAATCAGGAATTTATCCACAGTTTTAAGGCTCCTCTCCATGCTGGGGTTCCTGTAGGAGGCATCTCCTGGGGTTTGATCCCCCTCTGTGGCTGGAGCAGGATGATCCAATTCCTCAGAGACTTGGACAAGGTGGGACAGGACATTCCCTCTCAGCCCTCGGCCTCCTCTTGCATCCTCAGGTTCTTCCCAGATTTTTCCAAGCTGGATTAGGACATTTTAGGGGCCGAGAGGGGAGGTTTGCACCAAGAGCCAGCAAAAATTGGGATTTGGGATACAGAGACCCCAAAACTCTCTGTGTTAAGCTTTGGGAGCCCAACCCAAACCGGAAAAAAGGGATTTGGGACCATCAGAGCATCCCTCACTCCCTCGGGGAGGATTCCCTCAGGGAATTCTCCCTTTTCCATTGATGCTGATTGGATGGGTGCAGAGGAGTTAAAATTCCCAGAGCCTGACTGGACAGATCACTGGAATTTTGAGTTTTGCCCCTATTTGATTGCAATGGAAAATGAAATTAGAGAAAGGATAAGGATTTCTGCATGGATCAGTGTCAGGGCTTGGGAGAGGGTCCTGTTGTCCATTTTTTCCCATTTTCCCCATTTTTTCCCAGTAATTAACGGAATTTTGTCGGTGTTTATCCATCCCTCTCTGCAGAGTTTGGCTGTGCCCCCGCCACATCCAGGAGATCTGCAGGAAAACCATTCCCCGGATCTCCTGGAAGGACAAGCCCAGCAGGACACCAGCCAGGTACGTTTTCCCAAGGATTTCAGACCAGGGATGGACTGGGATGCAAATCCTAATCCTGGGATTGTCTTCTCCATATCCCTGGAGAACACCAGAGCTCCTGGGACGGGCAGGAGGCTGATGGCAGCGACAGGAATCCCTGGGGAAATGTTTTGTTGGTTAATTCCACAATTTCGGGGGCCAAACCGGGATAATCCCGTAGATCAAACGGATCCCACCTGGCCACACCATCCTTGTGGTATTCCAGTTTGGTTGGCTGAAGATTTGATGATTCCCAATGCTTTTAAAACTGGGAGTTGAAATTCCAAACAGGGAATTTAAAATATGCCTCCTACAAGAGGTTTCCTTTTCCGTCCCATTTTCCATGGATATAGAAATCCATGGATAGGGTCTCAGGATATTCCACAGATATTCCAGGATATTCCTGCTATGCTCTGGAGCATCTGACTCATGTAAAGAGGAGGATTTTATGGTCTAGGCAGGAATTTGGGGATTTTCTCCGATCCCTAAAATCCCATTTCCCTCTGTTTTCCTGCCCTCCTGGGCAGAGATTCCCTTCCCAAATCCCGCTCCAAACCCAGCACTCTCCAGTCTGGACATCCCTATGGAATTCTTGGAAACACCCAGAGGCAGGACAGCACCAGCTTTAAAAAGCAAAGGGGAAAATCCCGCGGATCTTTCCTTGGAGCAGCAGGAACAGCACCAGCCAGGATATTTTTAGGGATGGCGAGACTGGAAGCGGGGAGATCCTGCTCCAGGAAATCCTGCTCTGCTTTGCCGAGCTCTTCCTTCTGCTCCCGTCCCTTTGTCCCGGCCCTGGCTCGGGAAATGAATTCCTGGGATAATCCCGGAGCTGGAATCACGAGGGCTCAGCAGCCACGAGAGGGCTCCCGGCTCCAAAGGAAAATCCTGGAGCGGGAACTGCGGCTCTGGAGACGCTGGGAGGGGCCAAGAGCATCCCCGGGCTCTGCTTTTCCTCCTGGATGCAGCAATTCCCTCTCCTGGGAATGCTCAGGCTGGAGGAACACAGAGGATGGAGCCCAAATCCATCGGGTTTGGAATGGTTTGGGGGGGGAAGGGATTTTAAGGATCATCCCATTCCATCCCCCTGCCACAGGCAGGGAATCTTCTCCTGTCCCAAACTGCTCCAGCCCCGGTGTCCAGCCTTTCCTGGGACATTCCAGGATCCAGGGGCAGCCCCAGCTGCTCTGGCAATCCCAGCCCAGCCAGGAATTCCTCATTCCCAAAATCCCACCCCAATCTCCCTTTCCCAGGGAATTCCCTCCATTCCCAGCTCTCCCAGCCGGGCATTGGATCCATCTTCACCCCGACTCCGCTCCAGGAAGGAATTTTGGGATCCGGGGGTTTCACTGGGAATCTCGGGACTCCAGGAAGGGTCTCCCTTCCCTTTTCCATCCCCAACTTCCATAAAAATCCCTCGGGATGGATTCTGAGCCTCCTTGATCCCAGAATCCTGGAATGGTTTGGGTGGGAAGGGACCTCAAATCCCATCCCATTCCAATCCCACCATCCCAGGCTGCTCCAGCCTTTCCTTGGGCATTGCAGGGATCCAGGGGCAGCCCCAGCTGCTCTGGCAATCCCAGCCCAGCCAGGAATTCCTCATTCCCAAGATCCCATCCATCCTTCCCCTCTGGCAGTGGGAGCCATTCCCTGGGTCCTGTCCCTCCAGGCTTTTCCCAAATTTCAGCTCTCCTGGAGCCCCTTCAGGGCCTGGAATGTGCTGGAAGCTCTCCCTGGATCCTTCCCTTCTCCAGGGGAACATTCCCAGCTCTCCCAGCCTGGCTCCAGAGGGGCTCCAGCCCTGGGAGCAGCTCCATGAATTCCTCTGGATTTGCTCCAGCAGCTCCCGATGATCCCCATTCCATCAGGAGCTTTGTGAACATAAAACAGCTCCCACAGATATTTTAGGACACTCCAGATTCCCTCAGCAGGATGGGATCTGCATCCCAAGGATGTTTTCCTCGCTTGCATTCGGAGTAAAATCCCGTTTATCCTCACGAGGAGGGAACAGCAGATTCCAGAGGCAGGGAGGGAGCAGCTCCCACCTCCCGGAGATGCCCCGGAGGGATGGAACCAGTTTTCCTGACAGTTTTCCTGCCTGTTTTCCCAGTAGCAGCAGCAGGAATCACAAATTTCCACCTGGAACATCCCAGGAGCTCCATCCCTGGGGAGAAGTTCCCGGCAGGAGTTAACTGGAAGCAAAGGAACCGCTGGGAAGAGCGGGATGAGCCCAGATCCACGTGTCCGGAACAGGGCTGGATGCTCATCCATGGATGAGCTTTGGGGTTATGGGACCATCCTAAAAATTCCTGCTCCTCCATCCCTGCTTATTTATTATTATTATTATTATTATTATTATTATTATTATTATTATTTAGGCTTATTCCTTTCCAGGCTTGATTGGGATAAATCCCCCTCATCTCCATATGGATAAACCCACAATTGCTTCATTTTCTTCCCGGAAATCCTGTCCTTTTTTCCCCCCACTATTTTTCCCTTTCCTTTTTTGCAAGAATATTTTTTTCCTCTCCCTTTTATTTAGGCTTTTCTCTTCCCTCCTTTTCTCCCTTCCCTCTTTTCCTTCCTTTTTTTTTTTTTTTTTTTTTTTTTCCTTCTTTTTTTCCTTCCCTCTTTTCCTTCCTTTTTTTTTTTTTTTTTTTTTTTTTTCCTTTTTCCCTGCCAGCAACAAATCAACAAATCATTCCTCGAGGGAGCAGCAGCCTCCCGATTTTTCTTGGAAGTGCCTCATTCCCAGAGCAGGGAACTGCCAAAATTACAGAGGAATCACAGAATTCATGAAGTCTCATTACTCCGGGCAATTTCCCAGTAAATGGGATCTCAGGGAACATTCCAAACCTCAGCCAGGTCTTGGCAACCTCTGGAATCGCCTCCACAGGGATCTGTGGAGCATTTCGGAGCCGTTCCCAGGAAAATGAGCAGCGGTGCCACCTCTGGGGGATTTTCCCTCTTTTATCCCAAAAAATCCCACCCTGGATGGCTTCTCCCCATGCCAGCCTATCCTTCATCCCTCTTTTATCCCTTTTCCCCTCATCCTCATCCACATCCAGTGAAGAATTCCAGTTTTAATTGGCTCAAAATTGGGATTTTTCCCACCCCCGGTGAGCCAGAAATCTGCTGGGTTCATTATCCATGAGGTGGAATTATCCCGTGGTTTGATAAAATCCAGGAAAACAGGATGAACATGCCTGAAAACCCCACCGACATTCCCTGGAAGTTTAGGATTTATTTTCCCTGCTTAAACCATCTAAAAATCCAGGAAATTATTGGAGGTGAATCCAGATCTTTGTTCCTAAAAAAAAAAAAACAAAAAAAAAGGGAATATCCCTAAATAACTGCACCACATCCTGATTTTTCTTTCTCCTTGCTCTCCTGGAAGGTCTCAGGACATTTATGGCGAACAAATTCAAATTTCACTTTCGGATCCAAATATTCCCCAAATATTTGCCTCAGGAAATAATTGCCAGGAATATTCCTGGTAGGAATATTCTCGTTTTTCCAACGGATCGTTTCCCGCTGTTGCTATGGAAAAGCAGGGACAATTTAGGAGCCAGGTCAGGAATGATTTGCTTTACTCTGTGTGCCTGAAGTATTCCAAATTATCACCGAGGGGCTGATTAACACACGGCCCTTAATTGGCATTAATTGATGCTTTATTCCAATTCCAGGTGCAATAAGCACGGAGTTGCCCGGGAATGGCTGGAGTAGGGAGGGATTTTTAGTTCCATTTTGGAATATTTTAGGTGGAGGTTTTATTGCTTTGAAACAGCCACGGATTTGCGGCCTGGTGCTAAACTGGAAAATGGAATCGTGGGATTCTTAAGGTTGGGAAAGATCATTTTGGTTTATCGGCATTAATATTTTGATTTTATAATTACAAAATCGTGGAATCACGGAACGGGGTGGGAAAGATCCTAAAGCCCGTCCAGTTCCATGGGCAGGACCAACTTCCACCATCCCAGGTTGTTCCGAGCCTCGTCCAACCTCACCTTGGACACTTCCAGGGATGGGGAATCCACAATTTCTCCAGGAAACCTTTCCCAGGGCCTCCCCATTCCCTGGGTAAGGAATTTTTTCCCTCCCATCCAACCCACTTCTTACTTTTAAACCGTTCCCTGTCCGTGTATCCGGTGCTGTGTTTCCCTCCCCACAGGAAAACGGGAATTCCGACAGCGGCTCCGCGATCCCAAGGCACCGATCCAGGAGATCTCCCGAGCATGAGGGACACCCCGCGAGGATCCCATTCCAGAGCCATTCCCGGGATCCAGGGGGGAGCAGTGCCCCTTCCCTGGAGGATTCACCACCAGCTCGTCCCCCCGGAGCTCCGGGAGCTCGGAAATTCCCGTCGGGATCCACGGTGAGCAATGGAAGTGGATCCCTGTTTTCCCATCCGGGCAAAGACGCAATGAATGTGGAAATTCAGGGATAAATATCCATAAATAAAGCAGGAAACAGCTGCTGCGGGATCCATTTTTCAGGGACTAACGGATCCTTCTCCATTAATTTCCCCCCGGAAATGAGGGAACAGAAGAATCCGGTTCTTGGGGAAAACAGAACAACTGGAATTCCCTTGGAATGTCGAAGGCGTTTTCCTGTGAGGGCGTGTGCTGGTAAACCTGCCCATTCCTGACAAACCTGGACATTCCAGGGATCTTTAACCCAAGATCCCAGAAATGGGGAGGAAAAAGTTGATTTCTATGAAATTTAGGAGCAAAAATTCCTATTCCCGGGAGTTAAGGATGGAAAATTCGGGATAGTTTTCCTGTAAATGGATTTCTTTGAAAGCAGGGAGTGATTCTCACCCTGCATTCCCAGGAGGAACGAGCCCATCCCCACCTTCTCCAGAAATTCCAGGGTTAAAGTGGGACACCTGTGCCATTGCCAAAAGCCTGGGATTCCTCAGGAATTCCTCAGGAATTCCTTGGTCCTGGCAGCTCCCAGATGTCCCATCCAGGCTGGAGCAGATGGGGAGCCTGGAGGCCACTCCAAATCCAACCAGGAAGCCTCCAAAGGATCCTGGTGATCCCTGGAAACGCCCAGCTTCCCTCTGGAATTCCCCGCTTCCTGCCTCCCATCCCATTCCTCAGAGGCATCTTTTCCATGGCTCAAGGAAAAGTTTTTCCAGCTGCTCTCACACTTCCCTCTCCTCCTTTTGAATCCAAGGCATATCCAGGCCCTCGTCATCCAAGGAGGATTAAGGTACGGAATTCCTCCTGTCCTGCTCTTATCCCAGGGAGGAGGCAGCTGCTCCTTTCTCCGATCCCATTCCACCCTATCCCATAGATCCCATCCCATGGATCCCATGGATCTCATGGATCCCATCCCGATCCATGGATCCCATCCCAGCCCATGGGTGCCATCCCTTCCTATCCCATCCCATGGCATCCCCTCCCATGGATCCCATGGATCTCATGGATCTCATCCCGATCCATTGATCCCATCCCATGGATCCCATCCCATTCCATGGATCGCATGGATCCCATCCCATCCCATCCCATGGATCCCATCAATCCCATCCCACGCATCCCATCCCATGGATCCCATGGATCCCATGGATCTCATCCTGATCCATGGATCCCATCCCATCCCATGGATCTCATCCTGATCCATGGATCCCATCCCATCCCATGGATCCCATGGATCCCATGGATCTCATCCTGATCCATGGATCCCATCCCATCCCATGGATCTCATGGATACCACAGATCCCGTTCCACAGGTCCCATCCCATCCCATGGATCCCATCCCATTCCATCCTATCCCACGGATCCCATTGCATCCCATGGATCCCATCCCACTGATCCCATCCCATCTCATGAATCCCATCCCATCCCATGGCATCCTCTCCTATGGATCTCATGGATCCCACAGATCCCATCCCACTGATCCCATCCCATCCCATGGATCCCATCCCATGGATCCCATCCCATCCCATGGATCCCATCCCATGGATCCCATCCCATGGATCACATCCCATCCCATGGA